TATTATTATTATTATTATTATTATTATTATTATTATTATTATTATTATTATTATTATTATTATTATTATTATTATATCATTATTATCACTATCAGTATTATTATGACAACAAATGTTATAATTATCATACCTGCACTGGTGAAAACACCTGGTGGTAAAGAATCTGGAGGATACATTATCCATTTTTTAGAGCCTTTTATAACTGCATTCCATGCAGATGTGGAATTAGGATCTTTATGAAAAGTTGATCCTGAATGTGCTGGTCCAATAATTAACCATCTTAATAATAATAAATAATAAGTGAGATATATGTGTGTGTGTATGTATTAATATAAAAATTAAGATAATCTTTTTTTTATAAATACCTGTAATCAGGTCTTTGTTTGCCAAATAAATTGAAGAAATCCTCATTAAAATATTTTGGGACAGAAAAGTCTTGCAACAATCCATTACAAGTATCACCAAAATTCTTATCAAACAAATACAGTGGGCTCTCATCCATAGTATTTTTTGCATACTGAATATAATTCTTTAATTTAATATCAATTGCTTCTGCATGAAACTTAACATCACCAAAATTTTCAACCAAATACTCCAATGACAATTTTTTAAAAGCTGGCCAATTAGTAACTATGTCTGTGATAATTACTGGTTTGTTTGGAATGGCATACTTGTTAATAAATTCATCCATAGTAAGATTTGATCTATGATCTATGGATTCATTTCCAAGGTATTGTTGATCCAGTTCAATTGAACTGCAAAGAAATGGTTGAAATAACACATCACTAAAGAAATTATTTAGGTGAACAGTTGTTGTTGTTGGCTTGGAAGTAATTTTGTTTTTGCCAATATTTTCTTTAAATAATGATGATGTTTTCAAAAATGTGTGTTTCCATGTCCCTTCCCAAATCCAATCACCGCCAAATCTTTGTATAGTGAATTGTTTCCATAACTCATCAAAAGTCGCAAAACAATATAAAACCTTGCTAGTAGAGGAAAGGTTTAGTAAATCTTTTGGATCAAGGTATCCAATTATTTCTAAAATCAGCTCATCAATTAAGTAAGCAAGATCACCAAGACTAGATGCTCGACAATCTCCTTTAAAGTCTTTTTGCGTTGATAAATAATAATAATTACCCCATGGTATTATACCAAGCGGGTGTTTTTTTGAAAGTATTGTGTTGTTGCTTCTTTTTTTTCTAGAGGGTGTTTCATCGTTTGTAAAATCAGCAGTTGTTGAGGTAGAATTGGAATCCAATTTTCTTTTACGTTTAAAAGAAAACGTCTTTGATAAATTATCAGTATTACCAATATTCATGATGAAAAATTTTTTGTATATCCTCGTGTAACCATATCGACTGATTTTTTTGACAGAGTACAATTTCATTAGTATTAGGTAATATCTCGCAGCAAAATAAATATACGAAAAAATCATCTCATTTCATTTATTTATGGTATATTATTTGTTAATTGACTAATACTAACTGTGCTTTTTCATTCATTTTAATTTTTTAATTACAAAATTGTCCAATAATATGATGCATGTAGTGAATATCAGCTTACTATATTATAATGGAGCATCAGGGAAGAAAAACAACATGAAATGCAGTGTGCATTGTGGGAATGTTGCTTGCATCAGAAAAGTCTAGGATCAGAAAACTCCAGACGATGCTAATTACATTTTTAGTGATTGTGGGAAAATGGAATATGACCATAAAATTACCAATGTGAGGTTCACTTTGCTTCTTCAAATGTTTACTTCAATTCAAAAAGCTTTGTTTTATTCGCCCACTCCACCTGGTTAATAAGGGATCTCGCTTGATTTGAGAAGTGATTATAACTTGATCTTTACTTTCGGGTGAATACAATGGAATTTTATTTATGTATGTCAAACCTGATGCTTTCCCTTCGGGGGTAGACTCATTTATTTTAATATTAAAAGATATTGTTATTAATTGCATAATGTTGACGAGCTACTACTCCTGGTGCATGACGTGAAATTTATTGCGGAGACAAAAACAAAAAATTCTAAAAGTGTAAAGATAAACAATTGTCAAAGCGCCTACATGGAAGGAAAATATCCAAGCCTATTTTTGGGCACTCTGACAAAAATCCAACTTTCACTATTACTATTTTTTTTGTTTATAATTATCAATAATATTGCTAATTTCAGTATTGCTGGATCATTTTCCTTTTGGGTTTTGTTTTCATTGGTAAGTATACAGGAATTTTTTATTGTAGGTGCAATAATTCACCAATACTAAGCAATTTGTAGATTCCACCACCATTTTACTAAAAGAAAATTCGTGTACAATTCAAACTTTTCCAATCAAACAATTAATGTGTTCAAAGAATAACAAGGAGTGTGGAGCCATTTTGTAGTTGTAAATGGAAAATTCAAATGCAATTATTGCACTAAGCAAATATTTCGAAGCCAGACAAATCGTTTCATATGGTGTATATTTGAATTTCAAGCTATTTTTGTGTAACCAAGGTACCTAGTACTAGTTATTTTAAACTTTCCACCCCTGAAATGAAACACTAAATTTTTATTTCTTTACTAATAATAATAATAACAATAAAAAAATAAATCTAAAGTCAAGATGAATGCACCACACAAATTTGATTTATTATATCTTGCTCCGCATGAGAAAAAGTTAAGTTAAAAGATTTGTTTAAAAGTGTTATTTTTATGTTTTCGTAACTGATGATTAACGTGTATATGTGTGAATGATAACAGGATGTTTATTCATCAAGATAATAGAGTTGAGAATGCAGCAACCTTTGATATACAAAAAGAAGATCACACAATGGGGAATTTAATAAGACAGTATGATTTGATTTTTTTTTTAAATGAAGATTTTTTAATCTTGTCTAATCTAATAATATATGATAAAAAAAAAAGTAAACTTTTACAAGAACCACATGTAATTTTTGCAGGATATAAAGTTCCCCACCCATTGGAAAATAATATTTTTCTGAGAGTTCAAACAACTAGTGAAACAAAACCTGAAATGATGCTTGCCAAAGCATTGAATGATATTATTACTGAGATTGGATCTTTAAAAACAAAATTTATGGTATAGATATATATAATTGGTGTTTTGTCAATATGTCTTTTAATAATAATTTCTTACAATAGTAATAATGATAATGATAATAAATAATAATAGGAAGATTTGGGTCGTGCCAGAGCTTTAGCAATTCCATTAGAAAGCAAACAAAAAGAAGAACATGTTGCAACACCAGTACCTAAACCATCAAAACCACAAAGAGAACAACAATCTGTACCATCTTCACAAGGTGGTGTTGGAATGGTGGATATGGATTTTTAACATATACATGTATTATTATTATATGGGTTTTATGAAGAAGGTATGAGATTAATAAATGTTGATAATAATAACATTGCAATATTATGTAAATAATATCAATTTTTCTAAGAAATAAAAATTATAGATTATTTATATCAGAGAATAAGGAATGTTATAAATAAAATTTACTTACGAACATAGTTAAAAATTATTGCTAAAAGCTATTTAAAAATAAAATTTATTATTATTATTTCCAATTAGTCAATAAAAGTTTTTGATTCAGATTTATCCATTTCTGTGATTATAGCATTTGGAGTTAACACACATTTAATTTTCTTTGCCAGGATTTTGATAATAATTGTTATTAATATCATTACTACTAATGCTAATGCTACTACTATTGTTACTGCTGTTGCTACTGTTGCTGCTAATAACACTGATATTACCATGATTATTATTATTAATGTTTGGAACAATTCCTTCTAAATAACCAGTAAATAAACATCTATCAACTAGTCTTTGCATTACAGATGAAACGGGCTTAAAATGTTTTGTGAAGGTTCCATTCAAATCCAATAATAACTTACATACATTATGTTGTTTGTATTTATATCTATTTAATTGAGTATTGGAAATTAGTGGATAAAGAACTCGAAGATACGAATGTCGAAGCTATATTTAAGAGAGATTAGAAAAGATAAGAGGAAAAAAGGAAAGAAAGATTTGGAGGAGGAAAGTAGGAGAGCAAGGAAAATTAAAAGATTTTAAAACAATATGCAATTAATTATAATATTAGAAATAATTATAGTAAAGTTAAATAACATAATGATATAATTTATAATTACTAACTGCTTCACTTTCTTCAGGCAAATTGTAAAGTTCTCTAATAAACACATCAATCAATACTCCCAAATCATTTGTATAAAAATATTCAAATGTTTCTGGAGTTGTAAATATCTCAAATAATAATTTCAATATAAGCATCTGAATATGTGGTTTAGCTTTATTTTAAATAAAATGATATAAAAATTGTTAATTGTCAATTGATTGGTTGATTGATTGATTGATTGATTGATTACCTGAACGGTTTAACATAAATATTATATTTTCACCAAATGTATTACTTGTTCCAATTCTTTTGCTCAAAATTGTTACAACTGTATTAAGGTTCAAAAATTCTTCCTCCTCAACACTATTATAATTGCTTTGGTTTAATAACATAAATTGTTCATTGAATGATAACTATATTATAAATATAAATATAAATAAATATTTTTATATCACCAATTACTATAAATTATTTTTTTCTAAGAAACTTACAATTAAATGAATAATTGAATAATTAAATGTTTCATCTTCTTCATCTCTTGTTATTTCCACTAAATCTAACAAATGATTTAATAAATCTTCATCGATCATATCTTTTTAATTTTTTTTTAAAAAAAAATGATAAAACATTTCAAGAATTAAATATTTTATTTTAAGCTATATTATTAATAATAATGATTATGATTATATTAATAAGAATAATAAATTTTACCCAATTCAGTTTGTGATAAAGGTTGAACACAACAAATCTCAAAGAACAATTGTATTGTAATAAGTTGTAATTTTCTTCCTAAAGATTAATAATAAGATTAAATAAACATCTCACATATATCTGATAATAATAATAATAATAGTAATAATAATAACCTAACTTGCCTTCTCCCTTTTGATAATAAATAACATTCTTTAATTTATTAATAAAGTCAAATGGCCTTTTATTTCTAATCATTTTGAATATTTGAGAATTTTCTTTTCCTGCAAAAAATAAAATGTTGAATAAAATAAATAATTCCTTTGACGGTGATAAATTATTGTCATGTTTGAATGATTTGTTTATTAATCGTTCTAATATTATTCCTGGAAACATTTGATACATTGTTGAATCTAATAATTTATAATAACAACGCATGTGATCAACCTTGCTTTCCAAATATTTGTCTAAAATAATCAAGGTTTTTTAAATTAATTGATTAGTTAGATTTTAAATTCATGGGTACATCATAAAGATGATTTCTTCAGCCATATTAGGACAAACCTTAACAATTTACCTTGAAAATTGGTGATAAAACTAATATATACATCAATAGAACTTTTTGCCAAGCTTTCATGCTCACCTTGAGTAAGAATATCATCTAATTCTAAGTAAAATGAATGAACGAATAATTGATTGATTGATTATCAATAAATCAATAAATCAAAGATTAAGTAATTGATTATAACAAGATTTTGATGATTGATTATGAATGTAATAAGAATGTAGATATCAATGGAATTAGAAAATACTAACTATCCCAAAATTGCCCAGAATTTTCTAAATGATAGATTATTCCATTCTCTATGTTTTTATCCATTATTATTTATATTTATTGCTTTATGTATTAATTAAATTGGTCTTTCGACCTAATTGATTGCATGAAAATGTTATTAATATATTTCCGTAATTGTTATTATATATCAATATATTAAATACCACATTTCCAACTTATTGCAAATAAAAATAAAAAAATTTACTTGCGGATTTTTTGCATGTAGTACAGATAATTTAATATATCATCACTATTAACCTTGGAGAAGGATTGGAGCTCCATCAAAAATTTGAACATCCTTTAAGCTATTGTAACGAGTATTCTGTCTGTTTTAACCCTCTAAACTTGGTTTCTTTTCTTCAAAAAAAGTTGCAACAACTTTCAAGAATACGTTATTTTGTAACAATTACAATAGTGTATGAGACTGCGTCATACATATAATTTATTAATTATTCTCCAAATTCGGTTAGTGCACGCATCCTGGATTTCTTACATTAGTTAAACTCTGGGTTAAGTTTATGCAATATATATGCGCTCTAACCAAATCTAAACATCATCATAACTACTATATCACTTTCATAACGACCATTATTCTCATCATTCTTATTCCAATATTTTTATCAATGATTGTACTATCTATATTACTATTATTATTAGTGTGTAATTAAAATAAATACAATTTAAAAACTCGTTCAAGTAAGTGTCAATTTGTTTCTCTTTTTATCATGGATATAAGAAAAGGCGGATGAGTTCCTTTCAGAAGTTCAGAAGTAGCTGATGAAGTAGGAACTGAAAATATACGAACATTAAACCTTGTTGGTTCGGGAGCTACTGGAGAAAAGTTGCCCTTCCACCATGTAATTAATTCAACATCATCTACTAAACTTCATGCTAATAAGTTATTAAGTGGACACGAGAGTGGCTTATATTGTAATAATTGACCCGAATTTTGAAGAATCATTATGATAATATTTTTGATGAAATTGGAAATTAAAATCATGCCATTAAAAATTTTTTTACAACGTAATGTAATGATGGTAGCTTATTTTTCTTAATCCTAAGTTTTGAAAATCCATAACTTTAATTAAACCCTTATAAAAAGTTTTTTACTAATATCAAAATTAAAAAAACTCTGGCAACTTATTCTTCAAGTTTTGCGGAACAAAACCATAGAAATGTTTGGTTATCGAGCCTATACAAGTTATTGACGTTTTATAGGTTTATAGTAAAACGCTTGGCGTAATATTAATATTTAAATCCGCCCGCATATATTATTGATAATCAACTTTTGTGACTAACCCCTCCCTGAAATTTGATTGCATCGTTGTATCATCCATTGGCAGATTAGCCTTATGTGCGTGAGGAATAAGAAAATGATTACAGCAATTAAATATTCGGGCACAGAGCAATACACTTCAGTGTCTAGAAGTTTCCAACCAATAATCCAACGTTAGCATATCGAATTATTTGATAGTCAAGTGCGCGCAATTTTCCAAAAGAGAATTCACCTCTGACATTTCTTATAATTATTTAACATTGTTTAACGTTAATAACAATTACGCAAAACAAACATATCAACCATTTGTTTGTTGTCATTATGATATAATGTACAATAAGTTGCTACATGTTTATAGGTATTGAGGCATCAATACAAAATGTAAGTGTAGCGTGGTACAAGAAAAATTTGACGTGTTCCTTATTTAAAACTTTGTCGTAGAAAAATATCGTTGGAAGAGAATAATTTTTATAATAATAGTTCTGGTTACAGACATCGTTCAGAAAACAATTTCAGGATCAAATTGTTATTCATATAAAGATTCTAGAAAATTGTTTTTACCAATTGCTAAAGAAAAAATGAAAAGTATGATAGCAAGAATGATAGTGAGAAGGTTTCGGGTCAAAACTACCTCTTTTAGTAGCTGAAATTGCCAAATCATTGGGCAAAAATTTTATAGGCCAATCTATTTTTATTAATAGTCGAAATGCAAATTTTTTAAAAAATAATAAGTTAGCTACTTTTTTCCAAAAAATAGTTTTGGCCGAAAACCTTAATAGTATGATAGTAAAAATGATAATGAGGAAGAAGAAGAAGATGACTATGATGATATTCAAAATAATTCATCAATTCAAATTAAAGATGCAAGTACTATTTTTTTTAATTTATTTTGTTTAAATGGAAAATAAATTTTTTAAATTAACTAAAATTTTATTATTATTATTATTATAGGTAAACTATCATATATCAGATTATGTTATAAAAGTTCTTGAAGAATTTTATATATTAGATATTGTTTACAATCTTGTAACATTTTTCGTATATAACTATAGATTCAATTGAAGGTATTTTAATGGAAATAAGGAAGATATATTAGAAATTCTTTAATAATTGCAAAGAAAAAAAAATTGATCTACATAATTTTTATTGCGAAAAAAAAATACAAAGAATAATAAAAATTATTCAGTGTCACAACTCTCATCACTGTCGTCATTTACCACTCATTATCATCATCATTTTCAATGTTGTATGAATTTTCTACTGCATCCGTATAACCTTTATTGTTGCTGACAACTTCGTTCATTGTATGTGTCAGTTTCGTTGCTCTTGATGTGCTTGATTCTTCCTGTGGGTCATGGTCTGCACTTCTTTTTTACCTGACTCCCTGATGTGATTTGTAGTCTTCCTCTTGCTGTTGAAACTCATGAATTGTTCCTCAAAATCCAGATGTTTGGATTTTAATGCTTTGTGTGGGGATTTCCTATGGGAAGTGTGAGGAGAAATTTATTTAATGAAGTTTTTTTTTGTGATGAAATAATTTTCGATGAAATGAACTTTTGACAAAACAAATTTTTGACAAAATGAACATTCAATGAAATGAACTTTTGACAAAACAAACTTTTAATGAAATGGGTGTCAACGAAATGATTGTCGACGAAATGAATCAGACCCAAGAAAGAAATTTGTAAAAAAATAACTCAACTAATCATAAATAATATATTTGATAATGCTTACTTCTGCTTGATAACTTTGTTTTTTTTTGTATATATATGTCCCAAAGTTTATCAAGTTTTTCTTTCCACTGATTTCTACTATTTTCTACATCATTTAATTTCTTTTCTTTTTCAAGGAGTTGAAATTTCAATTGTTCTATATCATCTGGTTCTTGTTCATATCCTAAAGCCATATCTGATAAAATTTCTTTGGGAATCTCGAGTCCTGAATTCTGAATGAGATCCATTTGCCACATTCCTGGAATTCCTAAAAACAATAATATGAGCACACTTTAATTAGTTTAAAAATTACTGACATTACATTCAATCAATTGATAAATTAACCAATAAATATAATACCAATCTAATATTTCTGGTAGTGATGGGTTTATAAATATAAGTGTGTGTGGTGATGTCAATAAACCTATGCCTGGGGAAAAATATAATTTAATCATTTGCAAATAAATAAATAAATACATGTATATCTTAAGTATTAGTAAATATTTTTGAACCTTAATAATCAGTAACATGGACAAATTTCATTGCAATTATTGTATTAATCTCAAGTTCCAAAGTATCAGCATGATTTCCCCACAAGACAACTTTATTTTCATGTCCATTTTTCTCAGCTATGCTGATATTTTGTATTTGGGCCTATCAAATAGTTTAAAGAACAAATTGATAGATTAATAAAAAAATTTTTAATGAAATATATATAAAAAGATAAATACTCTTTTTTTAGTAGCTTTTGTTGTGATGCTGTGAGATTTATTGATCTCCTTTACAACACCAATAACATCTATTAAACAAAATATATATCATTTTAAAAATTTAGGAATTACAATTACCAATATAACTGCCTATATCAAAAACCGTTAATTTGTCCAATGGAAAAAAATTAAAAGATAATAAATTCACCAAATCATTTTCATTAAAATCATTATTGTTGCACAAAAAAATAAATAGGAAAATGGGTTTTTTTTAAAAAAAATTTTAATATTGAGAGAAAATTCAACAACCTGAAATTTTTATGTTTACATACCTGTTTAATTTCAATGTTATCATCAAAATACATTTCATAGTGATTCTCCTGATTATATGATTTTTTGTTTAAAATCACATTTAAATTGGATATATAATATGCCTATTTGAAATTAAATAATTAATAATTGACAATTCATATTTTATATTTTTCCAATTTATCATAAAATTTGTCATCAAATGTAATGGCTCTAATTTCTCCCTAATTACATTGATTATGTATATTTCATTTTAGTTATCAAGTCTTTTTGAAAAGAAATAATAAATAGTAATAATAATTCATATGATTTGTTCACTAAAACAACACCAAACAGTGTTCCTTCACCATTTTCATTTTCCAGTGGACAATTTCTGATTTACCCACTATGTACACTCTAATGGTGAAACTAATCAAATAATAGAGTAAAATAAAATAATACATAGCTTTAATGGAGCCATAAAATTATGTTCTCAAAAAATAATCAATATAAATACTCATGAGCATGTATAGAGCTAATCTCTTTAATTCTTAAAATCTTGGTTGTTTTATCTTTGACAAGTTTGCAACATGCTTTCAAAAGTTCTTCTTCTAATTCTTCATTTTTGATCTGTTCTCCCAAGTATTTTCTAGCTTTTCCATAATGAACTTCCCAAATTGTTTTATGAATGAGCCTTTGTTGGTTTATTTTGTGTTTTCAAATTTTCTGAAAGATTTACTGAATGCTGATTCTGATTTGCTAGTATATGTTGCAAATCATTATTAAAACTAGAGTGACGGCAAGTGGTGATAACCGCCATCCTTTTTAAAAAATAATAACACTTACTTTATGATGTTTCCCCTTATAGATGGGTTTAATTTTTTTTTAACAATTATTTAACAATTAACTAAAGTGATGACGAGTGGAAATAACTACCACCATTCTTTTAATAAACACTTACCCAGCAATTGCTTCCCAATCTGATTCTGCTCTTCTTTTTTATAAATATAAAAATAAAAAGACTATTTTTATGAAAAGTGTTTATTATCGATATTATATTATTGAAAGATCAGTTATTTATTAAAATGATAAATGATGATTAATTGATTATTATTGATGTTAAATGCATCATTGTATTGCTTTTAGATGTGTTTACGAAGATACATCAAGCACGAAATCAGTATGCTTTGATTACTAAAACTTCATCTAATGGTATTAACTCATACAAAATGCCTTCTTTAGTTTATGAAATAACTGATTGTCCCCTTCCAAAGGCTTTGTTACTTCTAGGAAACCATCTACAAACATTTTTTGCGATTACATATATTATGATTACACCAACTATACTAATTTGAATAATTGTGTAGTGTACTTGTGTGTGTGGACATGGTTATTACAATCATTGTCTACAAAGGTGCCAATCTAAATGTTTGATATCTTCAATTCGAAATCAAAAAACAATGTCAATGCACTAAAAGAAAGTATGATGAAAAGATTAAACAAAAATGAGTTTGTTGAAAATATCGAAAATATCGAAAATATAGTTGATGATGATCTGGGTAAAGTTGCATCAGCAATAGGTGGTGCAGCAACAATGGAAATTTTATTAGAGCATGCAAAAAAAAAATTTTTTTTGGTAAATTTTGTTTTTATTAAATAAATTTGATTGATTTTTTCATACATCATTCATATTTTGTCTTAATCGTATATCTTAAATAATGGTTGTGTTTACAATAATTTCATAGACATTCATTATATTAAGGTTATTTTTATTATATCGAGAGATATGGTCAAGAGAAAAGTTAGGAAGAGAGTTATTCTTCAACCAAGTCGAACCCTTTAAATACATTTTCGAGTAGTACAATTTAATTTATTAGACTATTTCAAAGGTTTGTCATATGGTTGCTTCCCAACTTCTTAAATTCGAGCTATTTGTTATTTGTTGACGAAAAAATTGTCGGTAAAGTAATTGTTGACAAAATGAATCAAACCAACGTTTTATCAAATTCATGATTTTGATTGGTCAATCAATAATTGCATGGGTTAAAGTTTTGTGCTACCAGAACAGGACAATAGAAACAACCCAAATGTCAAAAATCATGGTTTTGAATTAACAGCATTTATGCATGCAATCTATTACAGAGATTAATTTTAGCTTAGAAACCTATCCACTTTACTTAATAAAATTTTGAGATATTTTCTGTTAAAGTTCTTAAAAACAATAGGTAAATTACTTCTTTTTTTTCGATTATCTCAAAATCATGATCTTGACGTTTGGGCTGTTTCTATTGTCCATGCCCCATATTATATATAATTAATAAAAATGTGATTTTTTCAAATTGAATTTATATATATATAATTTTTATTTTTAATATATACAATAAAATTTGATGCGAAATGTTAAAATTAAATAAAAAAATTATGTACATTGCAATATAACAATGCGTTGTGCAATGTTGGGTAGGCTGTGCACCTTGAAATAAGGTTGTGCAATGGTACCTATTTTACAGCAATTTTATAATTTAGGATCCTGATGTAGTTGTCATTACTGCAAAGTCTGGTTTAGATCCTAGCAAACATGGATCAAATTTTCTATTGATAGTAGCTGAAGATCAGTGATGATATTGATATTGAAGCTTTATTTTTAACAACTTCAGAAAAGCGATTTAACTCATCTACAAAAACCTTACCAATATCAGGATCTGTCTTGATGTTTTGTATTGGCTATTTCTTCTAGCTCAGGTTCGGTGAAGATTTTTTTATTATGTAATTTTCAATATCAATTATAAATGAATGTAATAACCTATTAAAAAGAATATAGTAGACCTTTGAGGATAATCTTGGTAAGACATAGACATGTAACTTACAGTTCAGGAGAATTATCATTTTCACTAGCATAAGAGTATAAATCATTTTCTATATAATGTCCTGAACATTCAGATTGGCAAATATGGTTTCTATTACTGTTTTACCATTAAAGAATTTCTAATAAATACAAAAAAAAAAGATATTTCTTAAGAAAGTGTTCAATAACTATAATTCTTTTTAAATAACTAGAGTGACAACAACACCACCATTCTTGTGATAAACACTTACTCTTCACTTTTATCGCATCATTATCTTTTCTTCTTTTTTGTTGGCAAGGCATTGTGTTAAAAAAAGAATTGTTATTTGATCGACAAACGCGTACACATTAATTGACGATCCGTATTAGTATATAATAATAATGCTTCACCCCCTTAAAGAAATTGATTGGATAATTTATAATATGCTGATCATTATTAAAATTTTTTAATATTGCTTTCAAGACAATAAAATAAATAGATTCTTAGAATATTTTTTATTTGTAATTGGTAATAAATAATTCAGCAAAAACATTAGGGAAAACTCTTGCTATAATTACAATGTAATAAAGTACGCCTATGGTTAGAGACAGCATATCCTATAAAATGAGCATATCATTTACTCACTACTTGTGATATATTAAATCATTACATAATTCTTATCTATTGAATATATTAAATATTAAATAAATTATAAACCAATTTTCTGACCTTAATGAAAGACGTGTTACGTATTAAAATATACATATTCTATATTGGTTTTAATAGGGTAAAATCAATAATCACAAGGCGTGAGATCAAAAAAATTTCTTATTTAAAAAATATGTTGAAAAACTTTTTTAAACCATAAATTTTGAATAATAAATTTTAATTGAAAAAAAAAAATATTGGTGAAAAAGTGCAAATTCTGCAGGCAAATGATCTACATTGAAGGGATAGGGCCCAGTACTAGGCCATAAACCACATAATTAACAACGCCTTAGGGACAGCAAGCAAAAATCACTGACAGAAAATGTGAATTAGATCTAAAATTGGTCGAGCGCTGATTATTTTTCTATTTGCGACAGAATTTTTTTAAAAAATATATTAGTAATGGGAGAGAGAAGTTGATACCTCACACAAGATTGTCTGAAAACCCTGGTCATTTGATACTAGAAAGTTTTTCCGATGAATTACTCAATTAATAGACAATTTATTGTGATTTTCCATTAGATAATATAATTGGTGGGATCGGTTTAAATGAATGAATATTAAAGGTGGGAACAGAAATTAGCCGCAATTCAATTTTCATAATCCGCAGCCGCAACCGCAATTCAATTTTTATATGCCGCAATTAGTTGCAACTAGTCACAATTAATTGAGGAACCATCTTTAATGTAAATATTCAAGATCTATTGCCGATTCTTTTAAAATTACAACTTTACTAAAAAAATTATTATGATTCTAATTAATTTTTAATTAATAATTTTACATTTACAACTTTATTATTTTTTAAATAAATTTAAATTTCTCATTGAAAAAATCTTGTTTGTTTATTAGGAACGCCTTGATAAACATACAGTGCATGAATATTTTTCTTTTCTTTTATTAGCTACTATTGGAAATTTATTATAACAATAAGAGTGAGATGCATTCATAGAGTCTAATAGTTTACCAACTATTTGGACTGCGCCAAAAGAAGTTTAGCATTTATTTATTTATTTTACTTTTTTTGATATTGATGAATATTCCGAATTACTAGTACCAAGGCTCCGAACGAATCAATGAAATTCAAATCGATTCGGTTCAATTCAAATCACCTAACTTTTTATTCATTTCATTCGAAATTGTGTTTTGATTCGAATCTAATTCAAGTACATGCCATATGAATTCTGTAAAAGAGTTGCCTTCGGAAATAAATGATTTCGAAAGTCAAATATATATATATATAAATATTTGCCTAGTGCAATAATTGCATTTGGTTTTTCCATTTACAACTGTGAAATGGCACTTTTGAAGACATTGCACTGTGCCTGCTGAAGAAGTTATTGAAGAGGTACAATGCAGTCATCATCATTTATCATTGCTATATTTATTATTTAAATTTAAAAAATGAATTGTGCAACTGTTTAAATTATATTATTAATATGGTGCGCGAAGCCTTTAACCACCATTTTTGCACATGATTTTTAGACCCATTTCTGTAAAAAATAACTCTGTTATTGCATACATCGAGACTCAAACTTTATTGTAACAGAAAAATATTGTTGGTTGCTGTGTTCTATTCTTTTTAGCATTTTACTTGGTGGGAAATTTTCAATACTAATACACAATTTTTTTGTTATACAAATAGCGGTAATTTAATTTTCACACCTAAAAAAAAAATTTTGTAACACCCTTTAATTTATATTGTAATCATGAAAACTACAAGTCCATCGTTATTTATTATAATATGGTATCAAGCATTATTTCTTTTTACAGGCTTGATACAAGCCCTTGGTGCTCAGCATTTATATTACCAAAAAGCAACAACTGGTTCTAGGTATTTGGATAGATAACAAATTTTCTTTAGAATTTCATTTATTTGTTTTTGTGATTTAAGAATAATATTTTTTTTTGTTTTGTACAGTTTTCTTACAAATTTGATGATGTACGCTGGGATGGCGGCTGTTGGATTGCTTCTTTTGCCTGATTGGCTTGAAAACAGATCAAAACATTTAGCTGGAACAGGGATTGGCATGGTGGATTTTAAAAAATCACAGGTTTATTTTTATTTTTATTTCATATAATGAAAGAGGAATATTTTGTGTTATTTTTATTGTATTAATTTATTACTACTTTTTCAGTTAACAAAAAAAGATAAAAAAACTAATAAAGATTATCAACCTTTAACAAATAACTTGGATGAAAGACTTGATGATGATGATGTTGATGATGTTGATGATGATGATGATGGTGATGGTGACATTACTAATAATGACAAAGATAATGGCAATAATACAACAACCAATGATTGTGAAGAAGATGATGATAATTATGAAAATCCGCAGAGACAAAGTGATTCATTAAATATAATAGAAAATTTATCAATGAAGCCTAGAGAATACATCAATTATAAATATATTATAGCAGTAACTTTATTAGATATTATAGCAGGTTTTGTAATTACGATCGGATCTTTTCATTTAGGAAGTGGAGTGAGTATAATAATAAAAATGATTGATATTTATTTTTTTGGAGGTGAAAAAAAAGATATATATTTAATTTTTATGCTTGTCATCAAAACTTTTTTTACAAGATATCTCAAGTAATTTATAGCTCTGGGGTTATTTGGTGTGCGATTCTTTCATTCTTTTTATTTGGGAGAAAACTTACATTCATACAATCAATCTCGATAATTGGAGTAACATTTGGACTTGCTTTGAGTGCATTAGGAATCCATCAAAGCTTAGAAGTAACAGAATCTTCAACAGTTGTTGATGATAACAAAGAAATAATTTTTTTTAGAATGTTTGGGATGATTCTTGTAGTTTCTGGAACATTTGGTTATGCATGTGTTTATGTTGTTTCAGATTGGATACTGAGTATGGATGTACCTGATGACATGATACCACCATCACCAGAAACCATTTGTTTTCTTGTAGGAAGTTTTGGATCAGGATTTTCAATATTATATATAATAATTTACACAATTCCAAACTGGGATATTTTAATAACACAAGAGATGGCAAAGCTGAGTCAACATAATAGCACATCTACAATAATATTTATTTATATCCTGCTAATAATAATGTCATTTGCACATAATTTGGCATATTATTGGCTACTCAAACATACAGGAAATGTTTCTACTGGATTATTGAATTCACTTAGGGCAGTTCTGGTTTTTGGATCAAGCCATTGGTTTTTTTGTCAATTGGATTCAGGACAATGTTTTAATCTTTGGAAAGGGTTAAGTACAGTTGTGGTTGTTGGATTCGTTACTTCTTTTACATTATCCGGTAAACCAAAAGACACTAAATAAATATTAATCAAATCTAATCCAATGATGATAATAAATTTAAAAAATTTTTTTTTCTTTACTCCTTATATATATATTAATATTTTTTATTTTAAAATTTGACGATCATTCCTATTTTGTTATAGAGGTTGTACACTGGATATTCATTCTTTTTTTTATATATATACAACATTTGGTGGGATTTGAATATTCATTGTTAATAAAAACATTAAAAATAATTAAATTACATTTTATCAATTTTATCAAAAAAAAATTTTTTTCAAAAAACAATTTTTTAAATAAAAGTGGATTAAGTTTTGTTCTTTTTTGAGGTCATCGTATTTCCAGTCGATTAAATAATCTCTCACTTGGAGTGAATGTTGCAGATGCACACAAGTATTTAGTAGCCAACTTTGACAAAACAGAGAGAACCTATTTTTATGATGTTCCCACCACAAGAATAGATTATCTTTCCAATCTATTCTTCTAGTAATAGACATTCATCAACCTCTATTTTGTTACAATTAAATAATAATAAAAATTCGTTAGATTTGAAAACCCTACACAATGTGTAACACATATATAAACAGTATATACGTTGCCAGGAAAAAAAGTAATCACTATGCAAGCTTAGGTTTTAAAACGAATACGCATGGAAATTTTCTACTGTTCAATTATTTTTTTTTAATAATGATCATTAAAAACGAAAATGAAACTGAAAAATCAATATCCTGGTAGTCATCAATTATTAGATATACGTGCTTCAATTCTCCTTGGCTTGCCTTTGATTAATTTATTATAAATTTATTTTTTGAGGATTCTTCTTGCAATACATTTTTAGGGATTTCATACCAAAGATGCTCAAGGTCTAGCGATTGAGAAAAACCAAAATATTCACTCGAAATAATTCGATTAACTCTTCATTTTATTCTAAAAAATTTTATAATTATTAATCTTCAATCTTTTTAATCTTAATTTTTACTTTTAATTATATTTTTCAAGCCAATATTGAAAACTTGGACTATTTATTGATATAACTTTTATGTATTATTATTAGTACACGAAAATTTGAGAAATACAAAACAATTGAAAAAATCCTGTAACATTTCACGATTTTAATTGAAAATTTTAATGTGCATGCTTGTATATTCATTAGAACTTAAGCCACACAATATTATTTATTATCATGTAAAATTTTGTGTAATTAATAAAAAACGAGGTTTTGATCTTTCCTTCCAGTCAATGCATTCTGTTCGGATGACATATAATATATATAAAAGGAAATATTATATTTAAAAAAAATCTGAATTCTCTCCTTAAATAAAATATTAGCCATTTGATTATTTGAAAAATACTAATACTAATCCAAAAAAAGTTATGTAATTTACCTTAAATTTTTGTTTTCGTCATCTCTTAAAAGGTGGTCTTAACAAAGTTTGCAGAGACTTCATTGAAACTCGGTTCAGGTCAGGTTCAGTACACTAAAGCAGAAGTTCAGTCAAGTTCGGTTCAAGGTTAATGAACACGTTGAGGTTCATTAATTAACCAACATTGGCCCTAAAAATTTTCTTATTCATTAAAGAAAATTACGTTATTAATCGTCACTAATCAACCAACGTTGATCCCAAATCTTTGCTTACTCACTAAAGCAAATAAAACGTAGCTTGTTATCAAGGCACTACACTTGCTGCCTTTTATTTTTTTTAAAAGTTTGTTAAGGATTAATTTTATTTAAAATAACGATTCCGTTATAGAATTTTATTTTATTAGAATGTCAACTGTCCATTTGTTCTTTCAAGCGAAAACCCAAAGTTATTCCAAAATTTTTAAGTTCTCTAATAATAATAAGGTTTATCATTGATGGTTCGTTTTTTCTCACAGCCATTGTTGTTTTAAAAAGTTAAATTGGCGGAATTGGCGTCTTTAACCAATTTGTAAATTATCTGCAGACTTTTTTACACTGGACATCGAACTCATGGGTTCGGTTCATAGTTCAAATATTGATATCGTTCAGGTTCAAAAAGTGGTATGATACCCTAATTTTGGGTAAAAAGGAACGAATATCATTACCAAAATGACCGTAATTTTGCCATATTAGTGAGATTTTCTTAATTAGCCAATAATATCTTTGTGTAGATGTTAGGATAACCTATCACTATATATTATTATGTATATAGTTTCCAGAGTCTCGATATGAGTTTGTTCAAGTTCAGAGTTCAATTGGACTTGAACCGAACCGAACCGAACTATTTTCTATAAACTAAAATTTTCTTTATCTTATTTTTTGTTACACGATCTAATATCGATTATCAATCGATTATCTATCTAATTAATATTCTACGTTATTATTATAAAAAAAATGTTATCGTAAAATTTATTTTGTATTACAATGCAAATGTTGATATTTTTTTTTAATTTTTTGTTCCTGATCAAAAGATAACTAATTATAATGATATAAATAATTCCACTTTTTTTGATCCGTTAATTAACTGAACTCACACTATTCATAAAATTATAAAAAAAAAACTCTTTCTTTATATTTTTATATTTTTATAAAAGTTATAATTTAATATCGTATTTCCTTTCTATAAAGAAATCTCGTTAAAAAAATTAAAGTTTCTTTTTAATTTTAATTTCATTAGGAAAAAACAATCGCATATATATATATATAGTAATAACATGTGTAGTACACTAAATAAATCGATAAAATTTATCAAATTATTTTTTAAAGGAAATCATTCATATACACATCCAACAATTCAAAAAAACACACACTCATATTTCAATAAAATCAATTCTCCCATATCTTTTACTTCTTCAATCTCCTTTCCTCGTACTTCTACAGTTCCTTCCTACCAGCCATATTCATTCTTTAGCCAAGCTTCTCCTTTCACAAATAATGGTTCTTCATCTTTTTTCCATAATACAGCAACAACAACAACAACAGCAACAGCAACATTTTCCCCATTCTCGCCATTTTTTCTGTTTCCAAGGGTAGCTTGTCGTTCATTTCACTCATATAGTCCATCAAGTTTCAGAATATCAAGTCGTGTCTTTACGCCTCATTCTTCTAAACCAAAGAATTTTTTTGAAGCCACAAAAAATACTCCAGCACCTTATACAATCTTGGACATTTTTGATAAACCTTTTTCCACCACACATAGCCCATTTGTTTTTTCTCATGGCGCTTCCGGTATTCCAAAACATTCAGAGAAGTTAGTTTCAACTATACCTAATGCACCATACTTTAGTATTGGTTGTGGTGAAGATAGCTTCTTCAGAAGACATGATTCTTTAGGTGTTGCTGATGGTGTTGGAGGTTGGAAAAATATCAAAGCATTACCTCATACTGGTTGGTGTTTCATTCATTCATTTTATCCTTTTTAAATCATAAACTTTTTTTAATTTCCCATTTTTGAATTATTTACAGTTGTAGATTCATCATTATATTCTAGAAAATTGATGCATTATTCATGGACAGAAATTGAAAAATATCATAATAATTTTGAAAAAGATCAACTTTACAACTATGATAATTTTCAACCTGTTAATATTATGCAAGCAAGTTATGAAAAAACTTTACGTGATTGTACAATGGAGGTAAAGAGCTTATAATAATGATGATGATAATGATAATTATCTATCTACTTGTACATAGATTAATATATTATAAATACCACTATTAATTTATTAAATAAAAAGGGAATAATTGGTTCATCAACCGCTTTGATAGCTATTCTATGTAAAGATGAGCTTCGAATTGCAAACCTTGGCGATTGTGGTATTGGTGTTATACGTCAAAACGGATTTATATTTTGTAACGAAGAGCAACAAAATTCGTTCAACTATCCATATCAATTAGGAAGTGGTTCTCTTAATACTCCAAAAAAAGATGCTCAAGCTTTCAACATTAAAATTCAACATGGTGATATTGTAGTAATGGGTTCAGACGGGCTGTTCGACAATCTTTTTGAGGATGATATATTAGATGAAATTGTTCGATTTAGTTCAAAACAAGGTGTTTTAAAAGTTGATCCACAAATAATAAGTGATGCCCTCGCTTGGCGTGCAAAAGAAGCTAGTGAAGACATCAATCATGAAAGTCCATTTGAAAGCCGTGCTACACAAGAAGGATTGTATTATAGGGGTGGAAAGAAAGATGATATAACTGTTCTCATAGCGGTAATAACAGACTCAAATAATACCTCAAACAATCAATAAAATACACAATCATCACTTTTATTAATAACAATAAATAATAATAATCATCATATAACTATATCAATCAATTATTTATTTGTTTCATTAATTTATATTTATAGAAAAAATTTATTCCATAATCTTATTATATTGTAAATAGCTATATTATATATATATATTTATATTTATACATTTATATTTTTATATATTTATATTTATAAAACATTTTACACAAAGATCTAAAGATCAATTAATATAGATATATAAATATGCACATTATACATACACATACAGTATATTTCTTATTAAATTATGAAAATCACTTCAAATACTTTTTATTAGATTGCATATGCTTTTATAAAATAATTTATTTAATTATGCATTTATTTTTATTTTTATTACTTTTAATTAAATTATCAATTTTACAAAAAAGAAATCAAATTATGATTTACATCTAATTGATCATTTATTGTTATATTATTTAAATATTGAATAATGAGTTATTACCAGAATCCTTCGAATTAATTTTACCCACCAATAAACCAATAATCAAAGCAACAACACCACTATCATTACCAGTATTCGTTTCAACGAATCTTCTTATAATTAAATTCTCGCTACAATGAATTTTTAAAATTTTGGCTTTACATTTAGAAAAACATTAAATTCGTTGAAATGTGAAATTCGAATTAGCCAAACAGAATTTCATATCCAAACACTCCACCCCAAAATTTTAATTATAGATTTCCCCATAGATTCGTTGAAATGAGCGAAGTTTGACCGTATGTCCAAGGAATTAGAAGTATTATTCTTAATAATAACCTATTACTATGAATAAAAACGACGGAAACGCGTCAATTTTTGGGATTAACATACCGTTACATTCCACCCTCAAAAAATGGATTCAAACCCTTCAAGAGTGCGTGTAACATTATTATCCAATCAAACTTTGAATTTCTAGAGATAGTTTCTGAATTCATGGCAAACTTTACAACTGCTTGCCGGTAAAAACCGGCTGGAACTATGCCAATCTTTAACTCGTAAACTTGTTTGTCTTGTCCGCTAATGTTACCCAAAGTTGTAAACTATTACGTCAAATCGCTGCCATTAAGTCAAAAATAACACAAGTAAAATTGCTTTAAAGGCTAACAAAACATAAAAAAATTTATAAATGTATATTCCAAGGTCTTTTTTTATATTTTTTTTTTTGTGCATTCCAATCTCTCCTTTGTTTCATCAGTTGTTCCCGAAGAGCCAAGTTTTTCTTTTGCTGAATACAAATTCAGTTCCTACATACTCATTTATAACGTGATACATGATCGGGATAGATAAACAAACCATCGATGAGAGGGATTCTGTACTTTATATTCCAAGGTCAACTAGTTTTAGTGTAATTATTATCAAATGAGAATTTTACGCAAAAGCTTTTTATTATCAAATTACTGTGTGTAAATAATTGTGGAAGTAATGATCAACGAAAATTTCATTGAGGAAAAATAAAACTGATAGATAGAATCATTATTTTTATTAAATAAAATTAATCGCTAATAAACAAACCCATTTCTTTATTTTCTTTGTTTAGCGCGCTTTGATAAAATCAACAAGTGTAGTTAGTGCCTTAGTAAAATGCCGCGTTTATTTGCTTTAGTGAGCAAGCAAAGGTCTGGACTAACATTTGTTAACTAGTGAGCGTTAGCAATAGTGTTGTCAAAAGATTAATTGAAAATACTGGTAATCGCAAATGTAAGGCTGCTAAACAGGCTACTTAAGTTATTTTGCAAGTAAACCAAAGTGAGTTTGCAATGTAAACGACTGAAACAAATCGATCACAAGTAAATAAAAGGGACTTTATGGCATTGCAAAGGGTCGTCTTTATTTATTTACAGTTATTTGGTAGCATTAAGTGCGCTCGCAGATTCGTCTAGATGCAGTAGTCGAGAACTAAAGTAAGTCGTAAGCTAATTATTTGACAAGCACCAAGTTATTTGCAATTAATTGACAAGGGTAACCCAAAAGTTAAGCCATAATTAACCGAAATGATACCATCATTTAATGAGAATCAAAAAATTGTAAAAAGTTTATTATTTCAAAACATTATTATAATTTAGCTTTAAGAAAATAAAATAAAAGGATAAATAATTATAATGAATAAATTTATAGTGGAGGTTAGATTAGTCATTCATTAATTCTTTTACTATTGTTAATTAATACATTGTTAATGATAATTGATGAATAGTAATTTCCAATTAATTAAGAATGAAATTTTTATTCATCATTGTTAACATTCTCAGAGAAAATCAAGATTATTCAACGAACTATCATTACCTGTATAAATTTTAAAGCTTTTAGATTTAGCAATCTCTTCATCTAATATTCTACTTGTATGATATGCATCTGGATGTG